AGGATAGGCATGGGGAGGCATGGGTATGTTTGTAGGCAGCCCAGAAGGAGCCAGTTCATAGTGAGAGATTAAAGATTAAAGAGAGTGAGGATGATAGAAGCGGCAATCTGCTTGAGAAGATGGGAAGGTATCAGATCAAGGTCTTGACAAGGAGGGCCACTTTAATGAGAGATAGGGGTGAAAGAGTATTGGGGCATAGTGGGGGACAAATGTTGGGGGAAGAAGTCTGAGTGATATGAGGAGGAGGGAAGATGAAGGGGCTTTTGCTAAATGGCCTCATTTTTTTTTCAGTGAAGTATTAGATGAGGTCTTAGTAGGATGAAGGAGCATAATAGGGGTGGGGAGGGATTGAGGAAGGATGAAAAGGTTTTGTTTAACCTCTCTTGTGAGTGGGATAGAGAATCAATTAGGGAGATGTAAAAGGTTTGCTTTGCTGTAGTGAGCACCCAGTTGAGATTATTTAGCATATATTCAGAGGCAAATATTAAAAGTATTATCCCCATTTTATAGATGAAAAAACTGGGGATCAGAGAGTTTAAGTGACTTGCCCATGTGATCACTACTATCACAGCAGGGATCCAAATTCAAATATCCTGACTCTAGGTCCAGAACTTTCACTGTGCCACGTTCCTTATATCTCTTCCTTCCCAAACTGCCGCTGTGCCTCGTGTATAAGTGGACGTCAGACCTGGGACAAAGAGCAGCTTCAAGGAAAAATGCTGCTTCTTTCTAAATGTGCCGGATTCTTTTTATTGCCTGTGCACAGGGGCTACCAATGTGTTCCAAGGAGAGAAGCAGACAATAGGGAAGGGAGTCAGGGTACCCCCAGAGAAGCAGAAAGAGATTTCAGGAGGATCTTTTCTCTTCTCAGATAAAGACTGGAGGTTTGAATAGTTTCTAGCCTTTTCCCCTTCTTTTTGATGATGTAACTAGGGTTCCTAAAAAGCTGTAGTTTATTTCCCCCATAATCTAAGAAGAGTAGCATAAAAAAGGCTAAGGAAGTCATATAGCCCTTCTGAAATGTCAGTCTCCTCCTTGTCAAACAGGGCTGTTATGAAGTTCAAAAGGATATAAAGCACTTTTCAAACTTTAAAACAATATCACCATCATAATCATCATCATCATCATCATCATCATCAAACAGAGGAAGGCAGCACAGTGCAATAAATCTAGCACAGAGGCCCCTGGTTCAAATCCTTCCTCGGTATCCCACTATGTGTATGAGCATACACAAGTCTCTTATCAATAGTGCGATGTGGTAGAGACAGTTCCAGATTTAGAGTAAGAGGCCTTGGGTACAAATGCCAGCTCAGCCACTTACACTTCATATGAGCTTGGGCAGAATCCCTTCTCTTTGGCTCTCAAGTTTCCTCATCTATAAAATGAGAGAGTCAGGTTAAATGGCCTCTAAAATTCTTTCCAGCTCTAAGTCGATGATTTTGCAATCCCTGGGCTTAGGCTTCCTCAGCTGTAAAATGAAGAGGTTGGACCAAGGGTGGGAAACCAGCATCCTTTGAATTTGGATTCAAATTTTAAAATTGGAGTCAGTCAAAAGGCCGCACTTAAGGATTTAGAAGGCCACGTGTAGCCTTAAGGCCGAAGGTTCCCCACCCCCCGGTTTGAACTACATAACCTCTGATTTCCCTTCCCATTCTAAACCAATGATCCTATTAAAACAGCTTTTGTGTAGGCTGCACTAAATTCAACATACATCTAATTTACCCAGACTGAGAAAACTTGGTGAGAGTAAGGTAAGGGAAATGTAAACAGAATGTATTTTATTTTCTCTAGATTAAAAAACTAATGTATGGGTATAGTTTAGCGGATTAAGTACGGGATTAAAAATAAAGATGAGATAATTTCAAGAGGAGCTTGGGAAACAAAGAAGAGAAGCTTTGACCCTCGTGCAAACAAGCATATTCCCTAACCAACCAGTGCTGACCTACAAATATTGGAACATCAAAGTCACGGACAGTCGTGCTGGAGACAACTTCTGTAGCCCAGGAAAAGTGATAAGAAGAGCTCCTGGATGTAATGAGTCAACAGTATCTGGAAAGGTGATACTTTTAACCAACTCTTCAAGTTAACAAACAGTTGTAGAAGAAAGGAAGAAACAAAAGACATTTTTCTGCTCGTTTAGTTCAGGGTGGGCAGAATAGTTTCTTTGGTTTTGGGGAATTTGTGCTTTTTTTCTTCCAAGATATTTTACCAAAAAAGCCTCTGCCCTACTTTGTTCGTTAATTTCTCAGGAGTCTGGCAAGTAATAATGTGGCATATTTTCCTCTGCTTCAGCAAGTATAAACCTGACTGCTGCCTTGTTCAGAGTGACTGTTTTCCTGAGTGCTTTGTCAATTCTTTCCAATGTGCTGGGAGGCAGGGAAGACCTTCTCTACAGGATTTTATAGTTTGGAGGTTGAGATTAATGATCAGAATGACTAATAAAAGGCAGGTGTAGTTCAAGTTTTGAGTGACCCACAGGGCCAGTGATGCACAGTTCACATTATCCAATGTGGCATAAAAAAATGGAGAGAGGAAGCACTTTCAAGATTTATATCCATTTAAGCCATAGTCATATATTTAAAAAAACATAAGGCAAATATGTGGGAGTGGTCATGAATTGCTCATCTGTGTCTTAGCACGTGAGCTTTAAGGGACTGGAAGCATGGCTTCCTTAAGTATGAGTCCAGTGCATTATTAAAATCAACAAATATCTATTAATGATGAGTCAATTCAACAAACATTCATCAAGTACCTACTGTGTGCAAACTACTGGTCTAAGAACTAGATCAAGCAAACATTCCTACTGATCTTTTGGAAATGAAATGCATTATAAAGAAGACAATTTTTTATGATCAAAATTTAAAGTTTAAAAAATATATATTTAAATGACTCCATTTGACCAGGTTTTTTCTAGCTAACAATTAATGATATATATTTTTTTCTTTTTATGCATGCATAGTTATGTACACTGATGAAATCACAACTCTGGTTGAAAAATGCAGACTATTTTTCATTGAGTGAAGTTACACAGAGCTAAATGTCCATACAGCTCATGTGAAAGGTAGCTGCCAGACTAGAAAGTTACAAGTCTTTTTTACACCCCGTCCATAACACATGGATTGCAGATAATAAGAGATAAAGAGATTTTTAAACTTTTCTGGTTGACATTTTCTGAAACAATCTGAAAACACTTGTACCAATCACTGTGATGAGCTACAAGTTTCCCTCAAACTTGACCCCAGTTTTCCTCATCTTGGATTATTCTATTTTCTGTAACAGTAACCAATAAGAATCATCTAAAATCCAGTCACATGCAAAAAGCCTAACCTGTATCACATATAAAAACATCCTTTTTCTCTCTAAAAGAAACATTTCTTTTTTTTTTCTAAGAAACATTTTTTTCAAGTAATTCTGATCCAGTCTCAAGTGCCTGAACATGAAAATAATTATAAACCCCTCGAACATTTTGGTTAGAAAAAATTACTCTTACCTACCAAAAAAAGATTCCAGCACAAGTTGTCAGTCAGCCTGGTAAGGATATCGCAAAACAAAACAAAAAACCACCCTACTTTTTTTTTTTCCTCCCAAATCTGAAAAATCTTTTCAGAAAACAAAACAGCCCTCAGATGGCAGCTGGGAGCTGCAAGGCTTCCAGTCACGGAACTGAGGAAAAAGAAAGTTTTGCGGTCAATGCTCTTGAGCCTCATTACCTGACTTGGGTCGTGGCGGCCACTGCCTCTCGTCTCCCTAGGCAGCTAGTACTGCCTCTCCAGCACCTTTACTGACTGCAGGCAGAGCTTGTTTCTAATAGTTTGTCTTCATAGGGAACAAAATCACACGCCAAGCCAACACCTTAAAAGGGTGGGAAGCTTTTTTTTTTTTAAACCAGGAAGAGACGTGACTAAAATATTTAGCAGTCAGCTCAACTGAAAGTAACCATAGACTTGCTTCTTGTATAAAAAAATAAATTTGACAGCACAGTGAGTAAAGGTGGACTGATCCAGTCTAGAAGAGTCAAAGAGTTTGACCTTGCTGCTGTGAACACTGGCTCCCCATCCTCCCAATCTTTGAACTCTGTTCTGGGGAAGCTTTAGGATGGGGCCTTTCGCTGTTTCTGCACAGATTTAGCAATCACCCAGAAGCCCTAGAAAGGCCTAGCAAGGTTGAATCCCGTGACTGAGCCAAGCAGCCTGTGGGATTCAACGTTGCTCTCCAGAGTCCATCTCACATTTGTTATTTACTTCCATTCAGTCTTTCAAAGGTTTTACCTCTTTAACCCCTAAGTACTTCCTCATTCCATACTAAGAATACCAAGTAGCTCTGTATTGCTAGGGAACCAATTTAATCCTTTGAAATGAGAAGAGACTATATAATAAAGACTTTCCTAATGGTTAGTTTTTGATTTCTCAAATACATCAGGGTCCCAAGAACTAGGACCCAAAGTACCAAGGTGGGAACTTCATTTCAGATAAGCCATGCTTCACAGAGCCCCATTTGGGCTACAAGAGCCCCAGGTACAGGTCTGGAACATAATCTATCTTCACATATTGTCTCCTCTTAGATTTCCTGGCTTCCTATAATCAATGAATCAATCAATCAATAAGTCACTTAAAAGAATGAAGTGCCTCTATAAGGCTCCAGCCTTTTCTGAAAGCTTTTTTTTCAGAAGCTTTTTCTGATACTCTCGATGTTAGTGCTTTCTTCTCTTCAAATTCTCTTGAAACTATTTATCTCTGCATATGTTGTATCCACGCCATCCCCATCCCCCTATACAATGTAAGCTTCTTGAGGGCAGGGAACATTTAATTTTTTTGTCTTTGAATCTTCAGCGTCCAGCATAATACATTGCTTGTAGTAAGCCATTAACAAATTTTTGTTAAATTGTAGTCCTATTGATTTCTAATCTTATCAAAGCCAATATATGAATGAGAAATATGATACCTGCTTCTTAGATAATATGCTTGCTAATGGAATGTACATGTGATCTGTGGTTACCTTACCCTTGTTGTGTTGGGGCCTGAGGCTTTACAATCTCCTTCCTTGATTTTCCAAAAGAGAATAGTGAAGCTAGAGATGACCTGAAGCCCAGTTGGCGAGGAGTAGATGAGAGATTATTTTGATGTGGAAGATCTGGGGATCTTGACATGGGTGAATGCATTGAATCTAGAAACAAACAACAGCATTGCAAGTGGTGAATGATTCTTTAAAATATGGTCATGTATACATGCTGAACTTCAATGGTCCATAGTTTTATAGGTAGGAACACTCACCCTCCACCAATGCAGATTTCAACCCCTGAAGACTTTAATCAATCCATTAACAATTATTAACCATTTACTATGTGCCAGGCACTGTGTTAAGGGATAGGAATATAAAGAAATGCAAAACACAGTCCCTGACCTCAAGGAGCTTGCAGTCTAATGGGGAAGACAGCATGTAAGTGAATAGGTTACATCCAAGACACAGAGTACATGAACCATAACCTTAGAAGGGAAGGCTCTTGCAGCTGTGAACCAACAAGGCCTCCTGCAGAAGGTGATATTTGAACTGAATCTTGCAGGAAATGAGGGAAACTAAGAAGTGGACAAGAGCTGCTGTGGCCACAAAATCCATTACTCTGAGGACATCCTAGTGCTAAACCTCTATGAATTTAACTAGACTGGTCATGTGTGGATAGGTGTAGAGTCCATCTATCTCTATACTCTATAGACTATAGAGGGCCTATACTCTAGGTCTTTCTAGTTTGATTGGACTTTCCAGAACTTATGCTCCATTAGTATAACCTTTGAGTGCCCAGTGCTGTCCCTTATGGCTTTCGAGTAGAATTTTACTGTGGGCAAATGCTAAACACCTCATAGAAAAGAGACTCCTTCCCACATTTTCTTTTCCATTCCTTCCCTTGCCTTAGCCTCATAGAGTCTAATAATTGACATGGAGCATATATTCAAGAGAGGCCACAGGAGCTGGGAGGCAACCAGGCACTGACCTTTACAGAGCTGGGTAGCCAATGATTCTGTAGGGAGGGAAGATCATGACAAAATAGAGATGAGCCTCTCAATACACCCTTATTTATTCATGGTTAATTGGATGGATGGGAACATTCATACAAAAAGAACCATGGAATCATAGGCCGCATGATTACCTACTAGAAATATTGTAGAAAGGATTTGTAGTAAAGGGTTGGTTGGGCCTAGATCACCTCGGTGGTCACTTCCAAACACAAAATTCTATGAATTTCACTCTCTTCATAACAGGCAAGGGTCATTTCTCAATCTTGTCTACCCATACACAACAAAAAAAGGCAGGTAGAGGGTGGAACCCATCCATGTCTCATGAGGCTACTTTACTATTTGCTTTTAGAAAATTTTATTTTAGGAGCAACAAGGTGGTGCAGTGGGTAGAGCAGGGGCCCTGGAATCAGGAGGACCTGAGTTCAAATGTGTCCTCAGATACTTGACACATATGAGCTGTGTGACCCTGGGCAAGTCACTTAACCCCATTGCAAAAAAAAAAAAGAAGAAGAAGAAAATTTTATTTTAGTGGTTCAGTAGAATAGCAAAGGGTATCATACAAAATGAAGATTTTTAAAAATGTAGTTTAAAACATAATCAACTTTTCATATAAAAAAGGAAATGCAAATAACCTCTAAATTATCTGCTTTACTCTCTCCCCTTACTTCTCAACTCTTAGCAATATGGCTTCTGATGTCACCACTGGACTGAAACTGTTTTCTCTAAAGTTGTCCGCAATCTCTTAACTGGTTCATCTCTCCATATCCCTCATCTTTGTTAACCTTTCTTCCCAGTTTGACACTGTTGGCCACTCTCTCTTCTTAGATAGTCTCACTTCTCTGGGTTTTCATGACTCTACTGTCTTCTAATTCTCCTTCTACTTGTCTAACTAGTTCATGCCTTTTAATTCTGGGTATACTCTTGGGCTCCTGGGCTCTGTCTTGGGCCCTGGCCTCCTATCTATCTTATCTAATCTCTTTTGAGTTTAATGATCATCTCCATGAAGATAATGCTTTGATCTATGTATTCAATCGTAGTCTCTTTCCTGAGCTTCAGTCATGTGTCACCAGCTACTTACTAGATATTAAAAACTAGATATTCTATAAAAATCTCTCAATGTGCCCAAAATAGAAATAAATGACATCTGTGGGTTAGGTTAATATATGGAAATATTTATACAAAATCACTTTAACTGGAAAAAGATCACTATGATATGGACTTAATCTTAAAACAACAGTATATATACTACATACACTGAGATATTTACCCACGTAGGAGCTGCAGATGTTGCAAAAATAAAAAATAATGAATTTTTATAATATTAATAATATAAAATTATTCCTAGGATATTGATATTAATGATTGACTGGAATCTCGAATTAGCATTGGACCCCAATCAAAGCACAAGGTTACTGAACTTGGTGGTGAACAGTGTTCACCTGAAGATGGTGAGCTCCAATGACACTCTTACTGAGAGGCTCCGGCAAACCTGACTTCAAATTTGCTAATCCCTTTTTAGAATTTGTGGTTCTATAAGCTTTTGTTAAAAAGGAACTGAAACTTTTTTTTTATCTTTTGGTAAAACTGGAGTTATATAGAGGCATTATTAACAGGATTGAAGCAGCGTGGCGTAGTAGATAGAGGTCCAGCTTTGTAGTTAGGAAGATTCTAGATTCAAGTCCTGTCTATTACACATGTCAGCTATATGATCATGGGCAAATTGCTTAACCTCTTTGAGGCTCAGTTTCTTCATTTATAAAATGCAAGCATTAGACTGTTTGGCTTCTAAGGTCCCTTCCAACTCTAAATCTATGATTCTGTGTGGTCTTATGTGGTCCTATATGGTCCTAGTGACCAATCTGCTTCAGTGGAGGAAATTTCCATATTAGAGGAGAGAGTTTCCACTTTGGGAATTCCCTGTAACCAATGAAATCATAGGTCTGGACCACCCTCCTCAGATTCTCTTTTCCTCCTTCCAAAAAACAATAAAACAAAACAAAACCCATCGAGCTATGAAATGAGGCAACACATATACCTAACATCTCACCATTTTTTGTCTTCCTTAGCCTGTACGTGAGTGGTTGTTTCAACATCTGGTTGACATCGGTGTCATTGAGAAACTTTTTTCTCTGGATTTCTTCAAACCACTCACCAGTTACTCCATGGAGCCATCTAATATCTCTCTTTGTCTTCTGGAGTTTGCTGAAATGAAATAGAAGTGTATATGCATTTTAAGCAGTTTATACCCTGGCATCATCTGCCTCTAGAAAGTCACGTCCTGTGCAGTAAGTACATGCCTCTGTGCTGGGGGTAAAGTTTATTGAATATATCCATGATGTCAGTAGTGTCTGTTACAACATCAGCCCCATACTGATTATACTGTTTACCACTCACTGTGTAGAGATTTCCACAGTGCTTTTGCTATTATCCTAATACATACAACTGAAAGCCTGTTGGCTTTTCCAACAATCAAAATGAATATTAAGGAAATGAGGACAGTCTTGATTGAGCAATGGGCTAACACCTGATTTAGTAGTGACATTAAAGGGCAGACTCCCAGAAACTGGAAAATTCTAGTTCCAACTTGTCCCAGAAAAAGCAAACATAATGGTAGCCATGAAAATAGGAGAGGTTATGCAAATACTCCAGGTGAGCTTTATGCTCAGGTGAAGTTAATACGATTTAGAATAGAATGGACCTTAGACCTGATCTAGTCCAACCTCATCCCCTTACAGATGAAGAGACTGAGGCCATAAGAAATTAAGTGATTTACCCAAGATTACACAGATTATTACTATTTCTATTATTGTTTTTGTTCAGTTGTTTTCAGTTGTATCTGACTCTTCATTACCCCATTTGGGGTTTTCTTGGCAAAGATACTTGAGTGGTTTGTCATTTCCTTCTCCAGCTCATTTTACAGATGAGAAAACTGAGGCCAACAGGGTTAAGTGACTTGCTCAGGGTCACACAACCAGTAAGTGTCTGAGGTCAGGTCTAAACTCAAGAAAATGAATCTTCCTGACTCCAGGCCTGGCACTGTATCCACTGTGCCACTTAGCTGCCCATTACTATTACGATTATTATTAGTATAGCCAGGATTTGAACCCAAGCCTAAGTATATACCAGGCATATCAAACCACCACCACCATAGTGACCACTGTCTTCCCTCAGACTCTAATGAAAACAGCCCAGGATCCTGACCCCCAAAATCTCACAAATTGCCATACTTCCAGCCTAGGGCCCTCAGCTGTCACCCTGTGAAGACCTCTGTGGATATATAGCCTGGCAACTGCTCTTGCATGTGCTATCAGCTACATCTGCTGAAGACCCAGAAAAGAAAGTTCTTACCATCCAAGTCCTTGTCATTGCCAAACAGTTCAACATAAGAAAATGATATGATTTTTTCGGAAGAAATGACAGTAACAAAGACAAATCCCCATCTGCTTTACCTCTTCAACCCTGTGGGCCATAGGACCTTTCCATAGTCTATTTGGACTTGCAGCTAAAACCTTCCATGTGCATTATCTTTCCTGTTATATGGGAAGCTCCCTGAGAGCAGGGGCTGCCTTACTTTTCCTTCCGTATCCCCAGTGCAAAGGGCTTTGCACACAGCAAGTGCTAAATAAATGCTTTGTTCCCTCCTTCAGATCGTGTGATTTCAAAGCCTGTGTTTTTTCCACAATAACATTGTATCAGTTGTGTGATTTGAGGCAGCATTGGTATGTGGAAGAAGGCCTGCAAGAGGATGAGGTTTCTGATGATGAGCCTTGGTTCTCATTGCTCATCAGAACCCTCTGCCCTGGGACCCTCTGATTGGCTGGGTGGTGTAAAGAGCTCCTTCCCAAAACCTCCATGTAAGGATGGTGCCCAGGCCAACCACTTCTTCTTTTCACTTCTCACCCAGTGCTCTCCTTTGGACTTCTTTGTCAAGCCCTCACACTGGCTGCTTTCCCTTCCTCTTTTCAGCTTCTTCCCTTTATGTGTTGTCTTCTCCCATTAGATTATAAGCTCCTTGAGGACAGGGACTGTCTTTCTTTTTCATATTTGTATCCCCACCACTAGCACAGTGCCTAGAACATAATAAATGCTTAATAAATATTTATTAATTGACTAGTATTATTCACTGAGAGGTTAGTGACTTTTCCAGGGTCACATAGCAAGTTTTTGTCTGAGGTTGAATATCTAAATATCAGTTATTTTTATGATTATTCCAGCTCTAAATTTCCAGTCCTGGTCCTAGATTGCTTAGAGGTCCCTTGGTCAAAACTCTCACTCAGGTGCTGCAGTGTCTAAAATTCCATCCCTGAAGATTCACTACTTAGGCTTAAATATTGTTGTTTCCAATGACCAGTCCTCTTTGAAAATAACTTACTGTCTGACATTTTGAGAAGAGTTCAAACATATATTAAATACCTGACTTAGTATGACATATGTAGTTTAACAGAGTGATCTCCTTCCTGACAAGAGGGATCTGGGGTAGCCTGAGTATATGATATAGAGGATAGGTCCTTGCAGGATCACAGGACAAGGGGGCAGAAAGGAGTGTTGGGGGAGCATGAAAAACCAATTGTGTCTACCGTGAATCCAGTGCTGCAAGTGCTCATTATAAAACAAACACGCTGGATTTGTCATGTGGTTGTTTGGGAGAAGCCAATCTGGTGATTAAGCAGCCATTTAGCCTTATTTTTAAGTGTTTTATGTTCCTACAAGGTGGGGTGAGGATGGGAATGTTATCAGAGATGAGTGGCATGGGCATAGGGTGGGTATGTAAGGTTTCTGTTTCCAACCATGATATTGAACCAATCAAGCCACACAGCATAAAGTCATTGGGCAAGGAACCAGAGGTCATCTAGTCTAAACTTGCCAATCCTGTATGGCAGTTTGAAAAAAAAAAAAAGGTTGCAAATAGTCTATTTTGCCTACAAAATATGCTTGACCCTGCTCACATTTACCAGTGCCTCTACCCAACTGACGCCTATCTATCTCACTCCTTGACTACTTCTCATAACAATCAGTCATAAGCATTTATTGAATGCTTACTATGTACAAAACACTTCGATGAGTAACAGAAGGTACAAAAAAAAAACAAAAATAATCCCTGCTCTCAAGGGATTTTCATTGTAATGGAGAGACAAAATGTGTATATATGTATGTACATATGCATCCACATTTGTATGCCCATGTGTACATATATGTATATATGTGTGTGTACATATATGTGTGTATGTTGAAAGAAACAAAGTCAGAGAGAGAGAGTAGATCCAAGCTAATTTTAGAGAAAGGCTTCCATGTGGAAGGTGGGAAGGAAGTCATGGGATCCTAAGAGGCAGAGGTAAGAAGGGAGAGCATTCCAGGTATGGGGGATGGCCAGTGAAAAGCATGGAAGTGGAAGACGGGTGAAGTGTCTTTTATGATGAATGGCTAGTAGGCTAATATGTCTGGACCATAGAGTGTATGGAGGAGAGGAATAGTTAATAAGTCAAGTATAACTGGAAGGGGTCAGGTTGTAAATGCCGGAGCTTTAAATATCAAACTGAGGAATTTATATTTGATAGTAGAGGCAAAAATAGGTTTCAAGCTAAAGGACTACAAACATCTGCTTTTAGCCAATAGAGGTAATTCCTTGATTCCTTTTTTTTTTTTTTGGAGGCAATTGGGGTTAAGTGACTTGCCCAGGGTCACACAGCTAGTAAGTGTCAAGTGTCTGGTCTGAGACTGGATTTAAACTCAGGTCCTCCTGACTCCAGGGCCCGTACTCTATCCATTGTACCACCTACCTGCCCCGATAGAGGTAATTCCTAAGTTACAAATGTAACAATATGTAACTAATAATAGATGAAATTTTCATAGGACTTTAAAATATGCAAAGTGTTTTACATATTTTGTCTTTTTTGAGCCTCACAACAATCTTGTGATAATATGTATTATCCCCATTTTACAGATGAAATAGTTTCAGAAGGGTTAAGCGATTTTGCCCAGGGTCACACAGCGTCAGGTTGGATTCAACTCTTCACACTGCCTCCAAACCTCCTTGCTCATTCTAGAGGACAGCAACGTTGGTAACTGTCTCACATAAGGTCTCTTCCCTATCATCTTTCTCTGCTGTCAGGGGAATTGTGGATAACACAACGTACAAGCCCTTTTTCCTTTTTAAAAAAACAAAACAAAACATTACCTTTCTTCCACTCCCAGACACATCCCATTTAACACCTTCTTTATTTCTTCCAATTCTTGTTCAACTCTCTTTGGGAAAATCTCTCCCTCCCTCTTCCTCTCTCTCTCCCATGTGTGTTTTATTCTATCTGTGTTTCAAAAAAAAAAAAATAGCCTTAATCATGGCTAAGTGGAAGAATGAATTTATTTCTTAAAGTAAGAAAAACACTTGTTAGAGATACACCATTCTCAAGAGGAGAATTCATAAGTAAAATTAAATGATAATCAGCCTCTAAAGTCCTTGAAAGTGCCTAGAACTTCCTTTCATAATCAGAATCACAAAAGCCTCCTCCTTCCATCCTCATCCACCGACTTTTCTTTGTGAACCAGTATTTAAGATAGTTTTTATATAAATACTCTTATTTCATTATATTGTTTTAATATTTTGCTTAATTTCTAGCATGAATTAGTATTGTTTTCTACTATTTTTCACTGCAGACATCCAGTATTTCTATGACATTGTGGGTTAAATGAATGCAGAAATACTGTGCCAAGCACGATGCAAATGTAAAAGCAAGACCAGTACCTGTGCTCAGGTGCTTACATTCCAAAAGGGGGAGACAACACCTATTGGGTTCATTGGGAAATCTACATTTACAGCTGTAGAAATGTATTCTAAATTTAAACACCTAACGTACAAGCCAGCATTTGTAACACAGCCTCTTTGTGAGTTGGGGCCCAGTTTGGTATTTAATAAATATTTCTGTGGTGGCTGTTGTGGACTAGCCTTTTATGCCATGCTTTAGCATCAGTACTGGATGAAGAAGGCATTTACAACTTCTCTTACAAAAGCTAACTCAACAACCTGCTTCTATCATCCTAAAGTATGATCATAAAAGATGATGGAATGGGGATTTTGAGCTCCAGATTCATTAAAGAAAAAAATTAATAATAATAATAATGTGTGTAATTCCATGGGTGTAGGGAACTCCCGGTATGAAATCTTCTTCCACCTATGCAGAACAGCAACTCATTACCTGAGGCAATGA